CATCAGCAAAGAGCAACTGTGACAACTCCCACTTTATGTGTGATTCTTTATCTTTTAACTCCACGCCTCTTGCCAAGACCCTCGCATATACTTCTCTTACAACCCCATCTATAAATATATTAAACAACCACAGTGACATCACACATCCTTGTCTAAGGCCTACTTTTACTGGGAAATAATTTCCTTCTTTCCTACATACTCTAACTTGAGCCTCACTATCCTCGTAAAAACTCTTCACTGCTTTCAGTAACCTACCTCCTACACCATACACCTGCAACATCTGCCACATAGCCCCCCTATCCACCCTGTCATATGCCTTTTCCAAATCCATAAATGCCACAAAGACCTCTTTAGCCTTATCTAAATACTGTTCACTTATATGTTTCACTGTAAACACCTGGTCCACACACCCCTACCTTTCCTAAAGCCTCCTTGTTCATCTGCTATCCTATTCTCAGTCTTACTCTTAATTCTTTCAATAATAACTACCATACACTTTACCAGGTATACTCAACAGACTTATCCCCCTATAATTTTTGCACTCTTTTGTCCCCTTTGCGTTTATACAAAGGAACTATGCATGCTCTCTGCCAATCCCTAGGTACCTTACCCTCTTCCATACATTAAATAATTGCACCAACCACTCCAAAACTATATCCCCACCTGCTTTTAACATTTCTATCTTTATCCCATCAATCCCGGCTGCCTTACCCCCTTTCATTTTACCTACTGCCTCACGAACTTCCCCCACACTCACAACTGGCTCTTCCTCACTCCTACAAGATGTTATTCCTCCTTGCCCTATACACGAAATCACAGCTTCCCTATCTTCATCAACATTTAACAATTCCTCAAAATATTCCCTCCATCTTCCCAATACCTCTAACTCTCCATTTAATAACTCTCCTCTCCTATTTTTAACTGACAAATCCATTTGTTCTCTAGGCTTCCTTAACTTGTTAATCTCACTCCAAAACTTTTTCTTATTTTCAACAAAATTTGTTGATAACATCTCACCCACTCTCTCATTTGCTCTCTTTTTACATTGCTTCACCACTCTCTTAACCTCTCTCTTTTTCTCCATATAGTCTTCCCTCCTTGCATCATTTCTACTTTGTAAAAACTTCTCATATGCTAACTTTTTCTCCCTTACTACTCTCTTTACATCATCATTCCACCAATTGCTCCTCATCCCTCCCACACCCACTTTCCTGTAACCACAAACTTCTGCTGAACACTAACACTAAATTTTTAAACCTACCCCATACCTCTTCGACCCCATTGCCTATGCTCTCATTAGCCCATCTATCCTCCAATAGCTGTTTATATCTTACCCTAACTGCCTCCTCTTTTAGTTTATAAACCTTCACCTCTCTCTTCCCTGATGCTTCTATTCTCCTTGTATCCCATCTACCTTTTACTCTCAGTGTAGCTACAACTAGAAAGTGATCTGATATATCTCTGGCCCCTCTATAAACATGTACATCCTGAAGTCTACTCAACAGTCTTATCTACCAATACATAATCCAACAAACTACTGTCATTTCGCCCTACATCATATCTTGTATACTTATTTATCCTCTTTTTCTTAAAATATGTATTACCTATAACTGAACCCCTTTCTATACAAAGTTCAATCAAAGGGCTCCCATTATCATTTACACCTGGCACCCCAAACTTACCTACCACACCCTCTCTAAAAGTTTCTCCTACTTTAGCATTCAGGTCCCCTACCACAATTACTCTCTCACTTGGTGCAAAGGCTCCTATACATTCACTTAACATCTCCCAAAATCTCTCTCTCTCTCCTCTGCATTCCTTTTCTTCTCCAGGTGCATACACGCTTATTATGACCCACTTTTCGCATCCAACCTTTACTTTAATCCACATAATTCTTGAATTTACACATTCATATTCTCTTTCCTCCTTCCATAACTGATCCTTCAACATTACTGCTACCCCTTCCTTTGCTCTAACTCTCTCAGATACTCCAGATTTAATCCCATTTATTTTCCCCCACCGAAACTCCCCTACCCCCTTCAGCTTTGTTTAGCTTAGGGCCAGGACATCCAACTTCTTTTCATTCATAACATCAGCAATCATCTGTTTCTTGTCATCTGCATTACATCCACGCACATTCAAGCATCCCAGTTTTATAAAGTTTTTCTTCTTCTCTTTTTTAGTAAATGTCTACAGAAGGGGTTACTAGCCCATTGCTCCCGGCATTTTAGTCGCCTCATACGACACGCATGGCTTACGGAGGAAAGATTCTTTTCCACTTCCCCATGGACAATAGAAGAAATAAGGAAGAACAAGAGCTATTTAGAAAAAGGAGAAAAACCTAGGTGTATGTATATATGCATGTGCATGTCTGTGAAGTGTGACCAAAGTGTAAGTAGGAGTAGCAAGATATCCCTGTCATCTAGTGTGTTTATGAGACAGAAAAAGAAACCAGCAATCCTACCATCATGCAAAACAGTTACAGGTTTCTGTTTCACAGTCATCTGGCAGGACGGTAGTACTTCCCTGGGTGGTTGCTGTCTACCAACCTACTCGGGTGTTGGCAAGAGAAGTGGGGTTAAAAGTTAAAGAATCTAATACAAGTGTGAGTTGTCACAGTTCCTCTTTGCTGATGACACTGTGCTTTTGGGAGATTCTGTAGAGAAGATGCAGAAGTTGGTGGATGAGCGTGGTAGGGTATGTAAAAGAAGAAAATTAAAAGTGAATATAGGAAAGAGTAAGGTGATGAGAATAACAAAAAAAAATTAAGTAATGAAAGATTGGATATCGGATTGGAGAGAGAGAGTATGGAGGAGGCGAATGTATTCAGATATTTAGGAGTGGACGTGTCAACAGATGGGTCCATGAAGGATGAGGTGAATCGTAGAATGGACGTGGGGAAAAAGGCAAGTGGTGCATTGAGGAGTCTGTGGAGACAAAGAACTCTGTCCATGGATGCAAAGAGGGTAATGTATGAGTTTAGTTATGCCAACACTCTTACATGTGTGCAAAGAATGTGTGGTGAATGTTGCAATAAGGAGAAGGCTGGGGGCAGTGGATATGTGACTGAATATAATGCAGTGAATATAATGCAGAGAATTCATAGTTTGGAAATTAGGAGGAGGTGCAGGCTTACCAAAACTACAGGGGTTGAACAAAATAATATGATCACCTTGTTCTGCAACAATTTTTTTTTATTATCGGTATGGAGTTGGTTCTCCATTTGCAGCTAAAACACTAGTTCGTCTGGGAATATATTCATATAGCATTTGAAAAATTTCCAGGGGAATTTTGAGCCATCTCTCAAGCAAAAACCTGCTCTAACTCTTCCAAAGACGATGGTGTAGGAAATTGGTTCCTGACTTGTTGCTCCAACTGACCCCACAGACGCTGTGATATTTGGATCTGGCGATTGTGGGGACATTATCGTCTTGGAAAATATCGGAAGAAAGGAACCTGTAACACAGGTTCATGTTATTTTGTCCAACCCCTAAATTATCCAGAGGGCTAAGGAGGGGTTGAGGTGGTTCGGACATGTAGAGAGGTTGGAACAAAATAGAACAGCTGAGTGTATAAATCTGTAGTGGAGGGAAGGCGGGGTAGAGATCTGCCAAAGAAAGGTTGGAGGGAGGGGGTAAAGGAGGTTTTGTGTGTAAGGGGCTTGAACTTCCAGCAAGCATGTGTGAGTGTGTTAGACAGAAGCAAATGGAGACAAATGGTTTTTAATTCTCGACATGCTGTAGGAGTGTGAGCAGGGTAATATTTATGAAGGGATTTGGGGAAACCGGCACATCGGACTCGAGTCCTGGAGATGGGAAGTACAGTGGACCCCCTCCTTACGATATTAATCCATTCCTGAGAGCTCATCGTAAGCCGAAATTATCGTCAGGCGAATTAATTTTCCCCATAAGAAATAATGGAAATCAAATTAATCTGTGCAAGACACCCCAAAGTATGAAAACAAAATTTTTTTTACCACACGAAATATTAATTTTAATACACACAAACTTAAGACATGCGCAATTATTACTCTACTAAGAATAGAATACATGACACTTACCTATTGAGGATCTGGTGGTGATTGATGGGATGGGAGGAGGGGAGTGTGTGGAAGTTATTGTTTAGAAGGGGAATCCCCTTCCATTAGGACTTGAGGTATCAAGTCCTTTTCTGGGGTTGCTTCCCTCCTTTTAATGCCACTAGGACCAGCTTGAGATTCACTGGACCTCTGTCACACAACAAATCTGTCCATAGAGCTCTGTACCTCCCGTTCCTTTAAGACTTTCCTCAAATGGGCCATAACATTGTCAATGTACAGGTTGCCAACACGGCTTGCAGTAGCTGTGTCAGGGTGATTTTCATCCATAAAGGTCTGCAGTTCAACCCACTTTGCACATATTTCCTTAATCTCTCTTTTCAATTCCATACTAATTCTCACCCTTTTTACCACAGGGATGGCACTAGAAGCTTTCTTGTGGTCCATGGTGACTTATTTTGCAGTTCTCTCTCGCAAATTTTTGCGTTCAAGGCAATGCGTTCGTAAGGGGGGGGTGGGGTCCACTGTAGTGCCGGCACTCTGAAGGACGGGTGTTAATGCTGCAGTTTTATAAAAGTAGTGTAAGCATGCATCTGGCAAGACTGATCGAGTGAATAATGGTGAAAGTTTTTCTTTTTTTTGGGGCCACCCTACCTTGGTGGGAAACAGTTGATGTGTTAATTAATAAATAAATAAATCATTTTTTTTATATTATTAAGAGCATTGCATATGTGGGAAAGTGCTACCCAAAAGGTTATACGAATAATGCCTGAAGAATGGGAGGCCATCAGCTTTGGCGGGTATCTCAAACTACTTGAATTACAAGCACTAGACCAGCATCAAGGCTCACAGGCCATGAAGGAATACAGGAAGGAAGGATAGCTGCAATTCTCTGTACTACAAACACTTGACCAGCATGAAGGCACACACCTTGAAAGATTAACTTAATAAGAGCAAGAATTACCTTCCTACAGAAGAGTGCTAAAGAACCATGTCTCTTGGGTTTATCTTTTTTCTTGTCCACATTTGTTGCTTCTGACACTCCCTCAAAGGGGCTCTCTTCACTGCCATCCCCAGTGGTTGCTGAGCCTGTATTACTTGTTGGCACTGTATATAATGTTGTTACTCCATTCTCCTTAACCTGCAAACATGAGAAAGGTATATAACTACTGTGTCAAACGTTTGAGTCAAGGTTAGAGTTATATTATTTACCAGGCACTCCGACCACATAGGCTGCTTACCACTCCTAGCCATAAAGTAATTATATACAACACATTAAAAGTACAAAAAAGAAGTTAAACAATAAAAGTTAAGAATACTAGCAAAATGCTCAACACAAATAATTGTTCTCATGCTAAGTTAAAATAACCAGATCAATTAAAAAACATTAAATTAACATCAAACTCTGCTTAGAGTTCCCAGAAGTCCCTACAGGCAATAGTTAATACAAAAAACATGAGGAAGGTGGGAAGATCTAAGCCACTGCTTTAAATTCCAGACTCCACACCCACACACAGTGACAAGCAAAACAGAAAGAATAGACATCTTGCTCCCCAATTAAGAGTCTGCACCTGCTTCTGAACTATCATTTATGCATTTCTGAAAACCTTTGATGACACCAAGAGTGAAATGTCTAGGTAGTAGGTTGGCAGACAGCAACCGCCCAGGGAGGTACTACCGTCCTGCCAAGTGGGTGTAAAACGAAAGCCTGTAATTGTTTTACATGATGGTAGGATTGCTGGTGTCTTTTTCTGTCTCATAAACATGCAAGGTTTCAGGTACATCTTGCTACTTCTACTTACACTTAGGTCACATTACACATACATGTACAAGCATATATATACACACCCCTTTGAGTTTTCTTCTATTTTCTTTCTAGTTCTTGTTCTTGTTTATTTCCTCTTACCTCCATGGGGAAGTGGAACAGAATTCTTCCTCCGTAAGCCATGCGTGTTGTAAGAGGCGACTAAAATGCCGGGAGCAAGGGGCTAGTAACCCCTTCTCCTGTATATATTACTAAATGTAAGAGGAGAAACTTTCGTTTTTCCTTTTGGGCCACCCCGCCTTGGTGGGATATGGCCGGTGTGTTGAAAAAAGAACAGTGAAATGTGTTATTCTTGCTTACGTTAGGTCAGGTTCATGACTAGAAGGGTATATAAATCTGAAGTGGAGGGAAAGGATGGGGACAAAGGAGTAGGGGGATCATCTCAGGAAAGGTTTGAGAAGGTGGAAATAAGCTTCGAGGGCTCAGGGCTTAAAAATCCAACAAAGTTGCACGAGTGTTAATATCTAACAGAATAGTGAGAGCACATTAAGAGAGAAGTGGAGGTAAATGATTTTTGTGACCTGATATGCTGTTGGAGTGTGATCATGGCAAAGCAAAATCAGTTAGCTGGACTTAAGTCCTGGAGGTGGGATGTACCATGCCTGTACCCTGAAGAGAGGGTGGGAATGTTGTGGTTCAGAGAACCACGTGAATTGTGATGTCAGTGCACTTCTGGTGGGGGAGAGGTCACCTTTCCTTGGAAGTTGGCTGACATGTTTGAAAAAACACACATAATTAACGAACATTAAAATAAAATAGCTGGCCTAAATCTGACAGTATGAGGAAAATGGTTGCAATTTAGAATGTGTGTTGTCTTCTGAACATAACCAAACATAAGCACAGCTTCCAAGAGGAAGACTGTACATTTCAGCCTCCAATTGTAGCACTCCCTGCATAAACATAACCTTTGAGAAGGATACCTCTTGCAATACTCTTTCTCCATTATACCTGGGTACACTACTACAATGAGGACAAATATTAAAATATAATGATTCCAATCAGAATTTACTGCTGATATTGAGAAACACACAGTAACAATCAATAGTGTAGATGAGATTCGATGCAATTCTATTTTACGACCAATACCAGTGAATACCTCACTAGGGTTAACCAATGTCATGCTAGTTTCCAAAAATATGTGCATTTCATTCTGTTTTATGGTCCAAGTCGGGGTGAAACTTTGTCGTAAGCTTCTTTCTCCTATCTTTGGGTTATTTATGCACTGTTGCTGTTGTAGATTCGCTGGTCCATTTGCTGGCCCGGGTCTTTTCCGGGTGGTGAACCGGCCTTGGCTCCCAGTCACAGGAGTGTCTTGAAGAGCATGCCAGCTGCTCAGCAGCTGGTGATGTGAGGGCAGCTGATGAAGCTGCACAGCAGCAGGCAGTGTCAGGAAGGGATGAGAAAGCATTTTGTTCCTCTGTCTAGTAACACTAAGATAGAAGGCAATCTTGTCTTGAAAAGGATGATATTCTCAAACTTACTAGCTCACACATGGACTAAGTAGAAGATTCTTCAAGACTAGTAGACAACACTCAATGTTGGACGAGCTCAACTCTCGGCCAATGGGAGAGTGGGACCTGCACGCTTCCACAAGCAGCCAGTTGCATAAACACATACTATGTTTATGAAAGGAGTGCTTCTGTTGTCTGAAGAGGATCTCAGTTTAAGGGAACCTACAGGACACCTTCCCAGAACCTGACTCCCATAATCATGAGGACCTCCAGGAGCCAAGCTCCCATTAACCCTTTCACTCTCCAGACCCCTGAAATTAATATGGCCCTCAGTGTCCACTAAGAAAAAATCATCCTGAAATGGCAGAGAATCTTTTTCCGAAGGTTATGACACCAAAAGTATGAAGTCTGATGGAAAAATTATGGAATTAAGCCAATGCAAAATTAGCAGTATTGGCACAACCTATGAATCTGCAATTTCATCATCCGAGTCCTATTTTAAACCAATTCTATTGTTCCATTCAGTCATATTCTTAGCTATTTCACTAGCAGGCCTTCCTCTCTATCAACTGCCCATTCAACTATGCTATGAAGAGCACAGAAATCAGTATTGTGGTCAATTTTACACAAAATGAAAAATATTACCAATTTAAAAATGGAGTCCAAAATAATCAATGACAACATTCCTAACACTAAAACATTACCCCTGTTCATTAATCATGGCCTCAGGCCTTTCCTACATATTACACTTGATTTCCATTTTGAATTCATAATCACACAAAAATAGAAGAATTACTCTATTTCTCAGATAATAAAATATAACCAGGAGTGATTAGTTCCAATAATTCAAACAGACTTATTAAAAATGCACAAAACGGACTGGGAGGTGGGGGTGGCATCCTCAGGAAAACCGGCAAAAATTTATTTCTGCTACTTTGAGTTCTATTTTAAGCTTCAAATGATAACAAAAAAAAACAATAAAACTATAAAAACCACCCTAAAAAACACCACAATATCATTTTAAACCATACATATTTTCAGAGTTTTCCTTTTCCCATCATGCACAGTACAGGAGTTTTTTTTTATACAGTGCACACTCAAAACACAGACTTATTCTCTCATATCTAGACCAATATTTACCACTCACAGCTTATCTGAGCAAGCCGAGCTCATGACAGAACTACACGAGGAACTTTGGCCTCAACGACTTGGTTCGTGGTAGCCAATGAAAGGGCTAGTTACCGGAAATGGCTCAAGTCCCCTGACCTGTTCTCCCTGGAATGTAGGCAAGAAAAGTACATAATAATTTACACCTGGAAAATCCTAGAGGGACTGGTCCCAAATCTGCACTCAGAAATTGCTCCCTATGAAAGCAAGACTCAGCAGACAGAGCAACTTACCCCAACGAAAAGCAGGGGTGCCATGAGTACACTGAGAAAATAAAATAAGTGTCCAGGGCATAAGACTGTTCAACAGCCTCCCACCAGGCGTAAGGAAAATTACCAATAGACCCATGGCTGTCTTCAAGAGGAAACTAGACAGATACCTAAAGTCAGTGCCCAATCAGCCAGGCTGTGGTTTGAATGTTGAATTACTTGCAGCTAGCAATAACAGCCTGGTAGTTCAAACAATAATCCACTAGGAAGCCTCATCAAGGACGAAGCCATAAGGGCTTGACCCCAAGAACAACCTTCAGATATCAAGCTGAATGGTCTTGAGCCACAGTGCTGACAAAATTAGCTATTCAAATTCACATGATTCTACAAAAGCTTGACGGGGTGTCACAGTACAAGCAAGGTAGCATTCACGGAGTTAAAATAAAAATTGATTAGTTAGCAAAGCGGTGCCACAATAAAAAGTGATTAGCCAGACTTGAGCACCGTCAGAATCCCCACATGCTTTTTTTTTTTTTTTAACATTTTCCAGTAAGCGTTGTGGCCCACGAGACCCACACCCCACACCATGCACAATGTACATATGCCACCCACTGTATACAACACAATACCCACACTAACAGTGTCAACAGAACACTTTACAAAACTTACACACACACACAAATCCAAATATTTCACATTACCACTGTCCATACACATTTACAGGCACTGTTAGATAAATGGACAGGGACGCAACTAGCTTGCTATTTTACTGTGGCAATATTTCGCTCTCCAGGAGCTTTGTCAAGCCAATATGGCTATAATGTCAAATTAGTTGCATCTGTGTTCATTTACCTAACATTTTGAGGGTAATTGTACCATTATCACATTCCTAGAACTGCTGCAGTTTGTGGAGCTCCATACACAATAGTGTTTTACACTAAAAAAAAAAAAAAAAACAAATGTCTCCCCGCTTTATTGGGCACCTTTTGGTGTGTGCACAGATATAACATCTTTTCTGAGCCTGTACAGTACTAGGAAGTGATCACTAAACTTCAAACAAGAGAGTATTTGGTGAGGAGTATGGTGGTGCAGGTGTTATGACCTAGTGTGTGACCTGGCATTTTTCTGATGACAGAAACAAAAGTGGGTACATGGTCTTTTGCCAGTCCTGATTTGGCTTGTATATTATGTAGGGAGCATTGCACTCTGTCCATAAGAGTGAAGAGAAGTTTAATGTACCATTTGCAACTCTTGCAGACAATTAGCAAACACTATCTGCATGTCACACTTTTCTGCCAAAAGCATACTGGCGGTGTAATCCATAACAGCAGCTTGTCTCGGAATGAGTTCATATCTGTGTGTATCCACCTTTCCTGCATTTTTCATTTTGGGGTGATGAATCGCTGTCAACAATGTTATGTTTGTCATGCCACTGAAATATCATTATGTCACTGCCATGAAGCACCTGTACCAATGTCTGCATTGAACC